CAAGACAATAATAATAACATAACAGGTCACCAATCTAACATGTTTAGCTCTATAACATTTAAATGCACCTCTCCAATGTCAGAGAGAAAACATTTAATGTACGGTTTTTAATGTATGACCTGCATCACTGTACAGAAGACTGCCATATGATAGAAATATTTACACTGAGCGCATGGCGTACAATTATGCCAATTTTCCTAATCCCTGACCGATAATTTTTAATCTAGAATTATCTGGGTGGAGGGTGAAATGGGTGGAGCGAAAAACATGTCTGATTCACGACAATTCCCAGACAAAAATCACGCCATCTGCCGGAAAATCACGCCGCTTTTTCAAATCACGAGAGAATGTGTACAAAACAACAAAAATGGCGCCGGCAACGCTTCTGGGTCGTTTTCATTGAATGTCCGTGATTTTAAAGTAATTTTGAGTGATAAATAAATGTTTTTTGAAACCTGCCTATTTCCAGACATGTCTTTATTACTGCTGTTCAATAAAGACCTATTTTCCAGAAGAAAAAAACAAATTTAATTCATGTTTGAGCTGATGGAGTTTAGGCTGTTTTTAGTCATTTCATATTTTCAGAAATTAGGTGTTTCTTTCAAATCATGGATCACACATTTGGGCTTCAGTTCCTAAGTTATTTGCTTTTTCATTTGGGTACGGAAAACAGGCGAGAATTACTTCAAAATTAGTTGGGTTTTAAAAGGAACCTTTTGCTATCTGATTATAGAAAAAATAACTGACTTTTAAATCGATTTAGCATCAGCCTTAGCGTGAACATTTATTAACCAACACTATCGGTAATCAGGAAATTATTGCTGAACTCTGCAGCACTTTTAATGCATTTGGAGTCAAACTGTAAAATATTTTTCCCCTGCTGTTGGTGGCGGCTCGAAGTAGATGTTAGCGTTTTTTTTCCAGGTATTTGCTACAAACTGCAGGAAGCAGGATAATAAAAGCAAACATATTTTGCCGACAATCAGCTTCTCTGATTGGTCGATGAGGTGCGTCCAGCTGCTGCTGCTCCTGAGGCGCTGCTTCAGCTGCTCGAAGTGCGTCCCACCGTGAAAAGAGCGTTAAGATCTGATGATATTTTAAGGTTTTCTGAAGTTTTGCTCTTGTTTAAATAATCCAGAAATCTTGTAAAAAGCACAGTCGGCATGGAAACCATGCTGGATGTATCTGGAAGCAGAGTTTGAGCAGCCATACCTTTCAGATTATCGATATTCTGGACAGCCCTGCTGCTTGGTGGTTAATCTACAAATTTGTAAACTGCTGCTATTTATAGAGTAACATGAGTTTAAATATAATACCCTGGATTATTAATCTGTAGCTGCTGGTTTCTACTAAACCAACTTCTAGAGTTTGCTGCATGTTTTTTAACCACGGCTGAGTTTAAAGTGAGAAGCATTCATGGCTTTTTTCATTTAGTGAAGACAACACATGGGAGCCGGAGGAGAACTTGGATTGTCCGGACCTCATAGCAGAGTACATGCAGAAACACAAAGAGAGGGAGGAGAAGAAGAAGGAGAGCAAGAGGAAAGCTGCCAGCGAGGCCTCCGGAGACACAGAGGAACGGGCCAGCAAGAAGAAAAAGGAGGAGGTGATTACGTCACTGATGATGCTGAAAGAGAAGTTTCTTTTCCTGATCCAAACGTGTTGTGATTGGTCCATCTTTCTCTGAATAACTCCTCCTCCTCTGTCTCCCATCAGGGCGACAAGGCCAGAGGTTTTGGCCGAGGCCTGCAGCCTGAGAGGATCATTGGAGCCACCGACTCCAGCGGGGAGCTGATGTTCCTGATGAAGTGGTGAGTCTGAATGTGCTGCAGAAGGGATGCAGCTAAAACATGCAGGATACCTGAGGAAACGGTTCAGGAACCGCTGATCCACACCTTCATCTAAGCTCCTAAGCATTACAGCCGGTTGGCACGATTTCCCACCAAAGCTTCCTCTGTTTTGTATTAAGAAAAAGAAATGTTTTAAGTTAAAAGGATAGAAAGCTACGTCTAATACTAGATGTAAATTACTCTAAAGTCCCTCAGTGTGAAAGAA